GATTTGAAAGGTGTTAGGAAGTCTCAGGGGGCTGGGGTGATATTCCATAAGTCCCTGCTGGGTGCTTGCATGTTACACCTCAGCTGCTACTCTTAAGGGCCCAATGAGACCAGAGGTAATTTCCATTTTACCAAGGAGTCAGACTCAAGTGAGGGGAGACAAGGCTGAGCCCCAGTTTGTATGATAGGGAGTCCCAATTTAAAATCCATATTGCTTGCTGCATTCCAGGGACAATCTGTGCCCATCTCAAAGGGACCAGGCCAAGTCGCTGGTGGTATTTGGAAGGATGTCTGTGTAGGAGGGAAATAATGGGCTTAGAGTCTGAAAACCAAAAAAGAACTAAAGCCAAAACTAGTATATGTAGTAAGTGAAAGCTGGCCTTAGAATCAATGTAAAGGAGGGGGAGAAGAACAGGGCTGGGAGTAATTGAGGCCTGGATGTGTGGATTGCCAGATGGCACAACTGTCCCTTAAAATTGTCTTCTAGAGTGGGTGTTGTGGTACAGCTGGTTAAGCTTCATCTTGGGATGCTGGCATCTACTGCAAGCTTCTGATATGGCTTCTTACTAATGTGTCTGGGGAGGCAGCTGAAGATGGCCCAAGTATTTGGGCCCCTGCTATGCACACGGGAGATCAGGATGGAGTTCCTGGCTCCTGGCTTCATCCTGGCCCAGTCCTGGCTGTTGCCGTCATTTGAAGAGTGGACCAGCAGATGTAAGATCTCCCTCTCTGTCTTTCCCTTTGTTGCTTTGCCTTTCAAATAAATATTTTTTAAATAATGAAATACTATGAAGGACACAGAACAGAACTTGAACAAATGGAAAGATATTTCAAGTACTCAGTAGTTGTCAACATAAAGCTACCAGTTCTGAATTAAAAATGTAATATCCTGATAAAACATACCAAAAAGATTTTTTCCCAAGAGGATTTTCTTAAAAAATTAAAACTTTATATGGGGAAAAATAATAGGTGGAAGCAGACTTGAAAGTCTAGAAATATCTGTCATTTTGTTATGGTAAATGTATCAAGAACCAGTGAGAAAAAGAGGGACACTTCAGCGCCCAGTGTTAGAATAACTGAGTAACCTGGAAAAAATAAAGTTGGCTCTAAATCTCTCACCATAAGACAACATATATTTCAAAGTAGATAAAGGTCTAAAAACAACATAAAAAATGTCTTTTATGAGGGACTGGCATTATGGCATAACAAATTAAGCCACTTCCTGTGATGCCAGCATCCCATATGGGCGCTGGTTCATGTCCTGGCTGTCCCATTTTGGATCCAGCTCACTGCTGATGCACCTGGGAAAGCCCCTGCGCACACATGGGAAACCTGGAGGAAGCTCCTGGCTCCTGACCTCAGCCTGGCTCAGCCCTGGCCTTTAAGACCATTTGGGGGGTGAACCAGTGAGTGGAAGATCTGTCTCTCCCTCTCTCTCCTTTCAGATAAATTAATTAATTTAAAAAAATACTAGAAGGAAAGGCCATTCTAACTGGGATTCAAAATCTAGAAGTCATAAATGAAGATTGACCAATTCTGTCAGAAACATGTCAAAGTAGAACTATAGACTTTAAAAAGCTTTGCTACTTGGGGCCGGCGCCATGGCTCACTTAGTTAATCCTCCACCTGTGGCACCAGCATCCCATAAGGGCACCGGGTTCTAGTCCCGGTTGCTCCTTTTCCAGTCCAGCTCTCTACTGTGGCCCGGGAGGGCAGTGGAGGATGGCCCAAGTCCTTGGGCTCCTGCACCAGCGTGGGAGACCAGGAAGAAGCACCTGGCTCCTGGCTTCAGATCTGCGTAGCTCCAGCCAAGGCGGCCATTTGAGGGGTGAACCAACAGAAGGAAGACCTTTCTCTCTGTCTTTCTCTCTCTTACTGTCTAACTCTATCTGTCAAATAATAATAATAATAAAGCTTTGCAACTCATCTCAAAGGACTAATCCTCCTAACACATAAAGAGCTCCTGGAAGCTGATATGAAGAAGACCTGCAACCCAACAGAGAAATGAGAGAAGTAAATACATATGGCTCTGAAACAGAAGCAATCCTCAGTGTCATGCATCGTGAGAAAAATGCAAAATGAAAGAAGGCAGTTTTCATCTACCCAGATTGGCAAAAATCCCAGTGTTTGTTAATGCACTGTGCTGGTGAGGCCATGGGAAGCAGGCATTTGTACTGTGTTGCAGGAGGGAGTGTAAATTGATATAACCCCTATGAAATGCAATTGGCTTGTATGTGTCAAAATTTTAAAGTGCATATGAGGACACTTCAAAAAGCTTGTAGAAATAAAGAAATTTATTTTGATGCAAAAATATTGAAACCCATGCAGTTGTCATACATTTTCCAGAGTGGTTTTTTGTTGTTGTTGTTTTGTTTTTTGAGCGAGAGCTCCCACCTCCTGGTTCAGTGTCTGAATGCCCACAATGTCTGGGGCTAGGCTGGGTCCAAAGCCAGGAACTGGGAACTCATTCTGGGTCTCCCAAGTGAATGGCAGCAGGGACCCAACTGCTAAAGCTGTCACCACTGCCTCCCAGGGTCTCTTCATTAGCCAGGACGCTGGAGTCAAGAGCCAAAGCCAGGAAGCCAACTCTGGCACTCTGATGCATGGGCATCTTTTTTAAGATGATTATTTGAAAGGCATAGTGAGAGAGAGAGAGAGAGAGAGAGAGAATCTTCCATCTGTTTGTTGGTTAGCTCCCCAAATGGCTGCAAAAGCCAAGTCTGGGCCAAGTTGAAGCCAGGAGCCAGAACTCTGGCAGGGTCTCTCACGTGGTGGCAGGGGTGCAAACACTTGGGCCATCTTCTGCCATCCCAGGTACATTATCAGAAATGTTAGGTTGGAGGTGGGGCAATGGAGACTCAAACCGACACTCTGATATGTGATGCCAGTGTACCAAACAGAGGCTTAACCCACTGTACCACAACTCTGGCCCCCATGCATCCATCTTAACCGTTAGGTTAAATGCCTATATACGTCCATGAACTTTGAAGTATTCTCAGGTATTCTTTGACCTAACAACACCATTTGCAAGGCATACTTCCTCTCTGTCCTGTTTTTGTTTGGTTTGGTTTTTTGAAAAGCATAGTTACAGAGAGAGAGAGAGAAAATCTTCCATCTGCTGGTTCACTCCCCATATGGCCCAAATGACCACAACGATTGGACTGGCCAGGCCGAAGCCAGGAGCCAGGAGCCAGGAGCCAGAGCCAGGAGCTTCTTCCAGGTCTCCCACATGGATGCAGGGGCCCAAAGACTTGGGCCATCTTCTACTTCTTTCTCAGGCCATAGCAGGGAGCTGGATCAGAAGTGGAGCAGCAGGGACTTGAACTGTCGCCAATACGGGATGCTGGCACCACAGGCCGTGGCTTAACCTGCTGAGCCACAATGCGGGATGATGCCAGTAAAGCATGTGACAAAGTGCCCAGATGAGGGCCAGTGATACAGAAACAGCAGCCAACAGGCATTCGATTCTCACACTGTGCTGAGTGCTTTTCATACATTATCTCATTTAACCAGCACATGCTGTGAGGTAGGTGCTATTATTATCAGTTACCTGAGGAGGCTGAGCACAGATCTGAGTGGGCTATAGAGCAGGTGCACATGCCAGCAACACATTGCTTCTGTCCTAGGCGCAGTGGGGGGCTGAGCAGCCTGAGTGGGTGTATGGGGAAGGCTGCAGGGACACAGAGGGGTAAGCACATACCCTGCTAATGCAGTGCTCCCCTGCAGGCCGGATGGGCTTTTGAGAAGGAAGTGCCTTTCCATCAAAGCTCCGCCACTTTCAAGTTGGGTTATCTTAGGACAGCTTGCTTGTTTTGCTTTAATCTACTTTCAGCCTGTCTCCCGCTAGGTAAAACTGGGGTATTACCAGTTTTGAGGGTGGTTGTGAGGATTAAGAGAAATGAATGCAGCTGGGCACTCAGGTCCTCACAGTCTGGGCTTGCTTACACGAACTGAGCAAAACTGGATGAGGTCTGGGCAGAGGGAGCTTGGCATCCCACAGCTACAGAGGGAGCCTAAGGATTCCGGGAAGGGTGGGGTGGGGTGGGTTGACTCATGGCCTCGGGGCCCTGTGAACTACTTAGTAGTAAAAATAAAATGGGGAGTGGGCATTTGGCGTGGCAGTTACGTGACAATTTGGGTTGCCACTTGGGACATCTGCATCCCATTCCAGTCCTGGCTACTCTGCTTCTCATCCAGCTTCCTGCTTAATGGGCATCCTGGGAGGCAGTGGATGATGGCTCAAGTACTTGAGTCCCTGCCACCCGCATAGGAGACCTGGATGGAGTTTCTGGCTCCTGGCTGCTGGCTTTTGCCTGGCACAGTCCTGGCTCTTGGAGACATTTGGGGAGTGAATCAGCAGTTGGAAGACCTTTCTCTTCCTCTCAAATAAAATGAAAAAAAAAAAAATTTTTTTTTTTAATTTAAAAAAACTGAGCCAGTTGTTGGCTATTCATTTGCTTGTTGCGGGCTTGCTCTGAAATTATTTCCGTCAACAGAACTACATAAACCTATGATGACCACTCCAGTGACAGAGATTTAATCCAGTTGTACAGAGGCCACAGAAGGGGTGTAGAGCAGGGCACTGACTCATTATCTGTCTTAAAAGGATTCCTCAGACCCTGTGGGATTGGAGGAGTGACCTACCTCGAAGTCCATGCATTAAAAAAAAAAGTTTATCATATTCTCTTTTACTCCATATTTATACTCACTATAGGAAGTAGGAAAAATACAGGAAAATTTAAAGAAACATAAGATTGTTAATTACATCTTCTAGAGACATCCCAATGTATACTTTTTTCTGTGCAAAAAATAAAAAATACGTGGTTGTTAGCATGGCTGATGGAACATGGAAAGAGCCCACTGTTAAGCGTTCCATCTTGTCTTCCTCTCCGTTTTGCTAGGACCCAACTCAGGCCGTTTCCCTGCACGTGTCAGGGACAGTCTCCAAGACGCCGGCCTCTAGGGGGCGCTGCCCGGAGAAGAAGCGGGGAGGGAGAGACGGCGGTGCGGAAACGCGTTTGGATTTGGACACCGCCGCTGTCCGTAGCTGGCGTTCCAACATGGCGGCTCCCCAGGACGTCCACGTCCGGATCTGTAACCAAGAGATTGTCAAATTCGACCTGGAAGTGAAGGCGCTTATTCAGGTACTGATTCCAGGGGCCCTGCCAGGCTTCAGCAGTCGTAACCCAAACTTCGCTGGTGAGCTCGGCGGCCTCACTCCCGAACTGATCCCACTCGGTCAGCGCTCCTGGGCCGTGGGTCGTCTCCCATGGCCGGCTCCCTCCTTGTCCACCCCATGTGGTCTGATCAGGGTGCTCCAGGCTCGCCCTCTCCTGGGACTCCCCCGTATCTGCCGCCCCAGACCCAGCTTCCTTAGTGGTTCCGCCCGGCCCCACCCACGGTCCTGGCCGCCTCCCCGCCCCTGACTACCTCACAATACACCTGTCACCGTGCGCGGCCCCGCCTTCTGACACTTCCTTGCCTGTCATTCGTGGCGTCCTGCAGTCTTTAGCCCCCGCCGGCCAGCGCGGCCGGTCCGGTGCCCTGTGGCACCCAAGGACGCTTGGCACTGGAGATGCTGGGTGAAGGGAACGTGACCGGGCCGATAGTCGCGATGTTGTGAAGCAAGGCCTGGGTCAGAAGGCGGGCAGGGAAAGACAGCCTAGGCAAAGACCGTTACAGGGTCTCCGCTCTGTTTAACAGCTAGGGGAAGCGAAGGGCTTTGCGTTATGCTGTTTAAGGGTAAAAGGCAGTAGTGCAGTAAAGCAGTTGATGAAGGCAAGAGTTAGGAATGCAGAAATGAGTCCTTAAACTCTGGCTTTCCGCAAATCATTTCAGTTGACAATGAGTGTCACTAAACAGATATAGACAATGTGGGTGAAAGCGTAGGGCTCCGCAGGTAAGCCAGACACAGAATAAACCAAAATTAGTGCTTTATCGTATGGAGAAAGAAAGTGTGATTTAATGAGGAGGCCACAGAACAAGTCAAGAAACTTGGTGGAAATAAATTTCTTAAACTTTGCTTCTTCAAAGGAGAAACTACAAAACTTCTGGGCCAATTCTAGAAAAATAAATGTAGTGTTCATACAAATGAAGTTACCTTTTCACATAATTCCAATTGCTTGGGCCCCCTTTTGGGTTCTTGTGCTTGCTAAAGAGAAAGATAGGTTTTAACTGGGTGAATTGCACTGTCTTCCAGCTTCTCTGCTAAGTGCTTTGCGTAGATACAGGGTTTTTCTATGGAGGTGATGTGTTGAAGAAACTGAGGTATGTAGAACTTACCATTTACATAGCCAACAAGTTGCTGTAGCCAGGATTTGAAGACACATCATCTGGTTTGAGAGTCTGTATTAAAACCTGGCCCCTGTAATTCGAAATGCCAAGAAACAAACTCCAAATCTACTTTTTTTTTTTTTTAAGATTTATTTATTTGAAAGAGTTACACAGAGAGAGAAGAGGCAGAGAGAGAGAGAGAGAGAGAGAGAGAGGGAGGGAGAGAGGTGTTCCATCCGTTGGTTCATTCCCTAATTGACCACAATGGTTGGAGCTGTGCCGATCTGAAGCCAGGAGCTTCTTCCGGGTTTCCCATGTGGGTGCAGGGGCCCAAGGACTTGGGTCATTTTCTACTGCTTTCCCAGGCCATAGCAGAGAGCTGGATCAGAAGTGGAGCAGCTGGGACTCGAACCAGCGCCCATATGGGATGCCGGCACTTCAGGCCAGGGCATTAACCCGCTGTACCACAGCACCGTCCCCTCCAAATCTTTTTCTTTTCTTTTCTTTTTCTTCTTCTTCTTCTTCTTCTTTTTTTTTTTTTTTTTTTTGACAGGCAGAGTGGACAGTGAGAGAGAGACAGAGAGAAAGGTCTTCCTTCTGTTGGTTCACCCCACAAATGGCCGCTATGCCACTATGGTCAGTGCTGCGCCGATCCGAAGCCAGGAGCCAGGTGCTTCTTCCCGGTCTCCCATGTGGGTGCAGGGCCCAAGCACCTGGGCCATCCTCCACTGCCCTCCCGAGCCACAGCAGAGAGCTGGACTGCAAGAGGAGCAGCCAGGACTAGAACCCCGTGCCCATATGGGATGCTGGCACCGCAAGTGGAGGATTAACCAAGTGTGCCACTGCGTCGGCCCTCCAAATCTACTTTTAAAACATTTCTGTAAACTCTGATTTGGGCTAGCATTGTGGCACAGTGGGTTAAGCCACCTCTTGCAGCATCCAGTGTCAGCCCTGGCTGTTGTAGCTATTTATGGAGTGAACTAGCAGATGTAAGATCTCTGTCTCTCCCTCTCTGTCAGTCTGCCTTTCAAAATGAAAAGATCTTGAAGGGGAGGGGGGAACAACTTTGGCTTATAATAGATGGCTTGCAAAATCAGACTAAGTTAGGTGACAGCATTGTAGTGCAGTGGATTAAACCTCTGCTTGTTACACAAGCATCTAATATTGGAGTGCCGGTTTGAGTCCCAGCTACTCCACTTCCTATCCAGCACCCTTCTAATGTGCCTTGGAAGGCAGCAGAAGAGGTCTAAGTACCAGTGCCCTGCTGCCCATATAGAGAACAGGATGGAGTTCCTGGCTCTTAGGTTTGGCCTGGCCCAGCCCTGGTTGCTGTGACCATTTAGGGGGTGAACCAGAGAGTAGCAGATGTCTCTTCCTCTCTCTCTCTCTCACTCTGCCTTTCAAATAAATGTCTTTTCAAAAATTCCAACTAAGTTAACCTTGTCAAAGAGTGCCAGGAATTTAAGCATCACAATTTTCAGATTGGCAGGAACTAGAGTTATAGTATTGCTTTTGGGTGTCCATGTCTGATCGTTAAAGCAAGCTGCTTTAAGACTTTCGTACTATCTGTGTGATGTTTAAGACTTTCCTACTGGGGCCGGCACCATGGCTCACTTGGCTAATCCTCTGCCTGCGGCACCGGCACCCATATGGGCACCGGGTCCTAGTCCTGGTTGCTCCTCTTCCAGTCCAGCTCTCTGCTGTGGCCCGGGAGGGCAGTGGAGGATGGCCCAGGTGCTTGGGCCCTGCACCCGCATGGGAGACCAGGAGAAGCACCTGGCTCCTGGCTTCAGATCGGCGCAGCGCCTGCCATGGCGGCCATTTGTGGGGTGAACCAATGGAAGGAAGACCTTTCTCTCTGTCTCTCTCTCTCTCTCACTGTCTCTCTGCCTGTCAAAAAACAAACAAACAAACAAAAAAACAACCACTTAATAGCTTAATAAAACATATTCAGCCTCATCTTAAAAAAAAAAAAGACTCTCCTACTAACCACAGGACTAATGATTAGGTCAAAGCAGAGTTGTGTTTCTTATCTGTTCAATAATAATCGAAAGAAGGATGAGAAGAATGTAAATGATACTGTTTTTGCTTGTGTCGCAGAGGTAAACAGCAAAGACTGGGATGAATTACAGTCAGGCCACCCTTAGTTGTGGTCTAAGCCATCTCTCACTGAACAGTTGGTATCATTTCATCTCTTCCATGTCTCCTAGGATATTCGCGATTGTTCAGGACCCTTAAGCGCACTTACCGAACTGAATACTAAAGTGAAAGAGAAGTTTCAGCAGTTACGACACAGAATACAGGTGAGTGTCTGCAGAACTGAGATGCTGCCAATGGGTAGCAGTGAAGGGGACTCAGTTCTGGGACTAAGATCTTTCTAAGAGCTGCCCAGTTTCTGTAAACACCAGCTGGAGGGAGTTGTAAACCTGTAGGCAGTGAGGGTGAAGCTATTCACCAAACTTGAAAGCAGAGCACTGTTGCCATGGCAACAAGTAGCCAGCAGGGACACCATTGTCTGAGGTCACTTCAACTCCCTTCTCTTCCCTACCACTCTCTTCAGCTATTCACTCACCTTCACTGCAGTCTATCACCTGTGTCTCCTGGGTTTTTCTATGTTCTCCCTTTACCCAGTGTCTTCCTTTGTATTTCTGTAACCACTAGTCACCTCATGTGCATGTTTGATACACCTGAGTTAACTATGGTGTGTGTCATCCCAGAAAACATCAGCAAGGTTAGAAGAGTGGAAGTGTTGCCCCTGTGGTGCCCTCAGTGCCGGTGAGATGGGAGTGTGGATCTGTCCATCTCCGGTGAGTCTGGAGGCATGTGCCAGGATTGAAGGACTTGTGCTTTTCGTAGAACACAGCCCCAGCAGCTCTGTTGCCGCCTAACAGAAGAAGACTGTTCCGAAACTGGCAGTAAAGCTGGCCATGACCCCTGAGAGAAAGCAAGCCCGTGGCCTGTGTGTTGCCTTGCTAAGGCACTGTCAAGGATAATTTTGAAAACAGACAGTATGTACCAGAGGAGTTAACTGAAGGATTCCAGCAATGTCACTCTACCTATCTTATCTCTACCAGCATCTTCGGTCTGATTTAATCATCTTGTTTAAGTTTTGGAGGGTGTTCGTTTCACATTTTGTATGTGTGTGTGTGTGTGTGTGTGTGTGTATAAATGGCATTATGCAAGGACCAGTGCTGTGGCATTGCAGGTGGAACCGCCTCCTGCGGTGCCAGCATCCCATATGGCGCCAAATCGAGACCCAGCTACTCCATTTCCAATCCAGCTCTCTGCTATGGCCTGGGAAAATAGTAGAAGATGGCCCAAATCCTTGGGTGCCTGCACCCACGTGAGAGACCCAGAGAAGGCTCCTGGCTCCTGGCTTCGGATCGGCACAGCTCCGGCTGTTGCAGCCATCTGGGGATGGCAGACCAGTGGATGGAAGACCTCTCTCTCTCTCTCTCTCTCTCTCTCTCCCTGTGCCTCTCCTTCTCTAACTGTGACTTTCAAGTAAAATAAATAAATCTTTAAAAAAATGCCATTATGCAGTGAAAAATCTCAGGCCCCACATTAGTTCTCTGGTCTTGGATCTCCCAACAGGTGACCCCTTTTATTTGTTATTTATGTATCTTTCCACACTTCCTCTGCTCAGATATTAAGAAAGACAAAGGTATTTTCTTATTCCCATTTCTCATCTAAAAGCATACTAAAACAGTGCTTTTTAAAAGTTTGTACTTTTTTTTTAAATTTATTTGAAAGAGAGAGAGATCTCATCCACTGATTCACTCCCCAGTGCCCGCAACAGCCAGGGCTGGGGCCAAGCCAGAACCCCAAGAACTGGGAATTCTTTCTGGGATTCCCACGTGGGTGGCAGGGACCCAAGTACTTGAGCCTTCAGCTGCTGCCTCCCAGAGTGCACATTAGCAGGAAGCTGGAATAGGAAATGGAGCTGGAACTTGAACTCCCATATGGGATACAAATATCCAAGTGGTGTCTATAAACACAGTGCTAAGTGCACGCCTCTAAAACCCAGTGTTTTTCCCCCAAATATTTATTCATTTATTTGAAAGTAATAAAGGAGTGAAGAAAGAGAGAGAGAGAGAAGGAGAGAGAGAGAGATCTTCTATTTGCTGATTTACTCCCTGGATGCCAGCAATAGCCAGGGCTGGGCCAGTCTGGGGCCAGGAGCCTGGAACCTCATCCTGGTCTCCCATGTGGGTGGCACAGGCCTAACCACGTGAGCCATGATCTGCTGCCTTCCCAGGTGCATTAGCAGGAAGCTGGACTGGAAGAAGCATAGCTGGGACTCTAGCTGGTACTCCAATATAGGATGTGGGTGTTCCAGGCAGCAGCCGAACCCACTGTGCCACATACCCTCCCTTGAAACACTGCTGCTTTTTTTTTTTTTTTTGAGATTTATTTTATTTATTTGAAAGCCTGAGTTTACAGAGACAGAGAGGGAGAGAGAAAGAGAGAGATCCATCTGCTGGTCTGCTTCCCAAATGGCTACAATGTCCAGAGCTGGGCTGTCTGAAACCAGGAGCCAGGAACTTCTTCCAGGTCTTCTCCTACTCGGGTTACAGGGGCCTAAGGACTTGGACCACCTTCTGCTACTTTCTCAGGGACATTAGCAGGGAGCTGGATTGGAAGTGGAACAGCCAGGACTCAAACCAGTTACTGTGTGGGATGCTGGCACTGCAGGTAGCAGCTTTATCTGCTATGCCACAATATCTGCCCCCAAACTTAATAGTATGTATTGGAATTCTTTCCCCAAACCAGTAACTAAAGGCCTTCCTCATTCTTTTTTACAGCTATACTCTTTTTAGCCAGTTCTCTGTCAGAGGAGCTACATATATATATATGTATACTGCTTCCATGACTTCTCACTTTTTTTTAAAGTCAGAGGTGGACTTTTAAAAAAATTTTGTTTTAATTTTTATTTGAAAGGTAGATTCACACACACACACACACACATACAGGCAGAGACAGATCTTCCATCTGCTGGTTCACTCTCCAAATGCCAGGACTGGTTCATGCTAGAGGTAGGAGGTGGGACTCCATCTGTGTCTCCCACATGGGTGGCAGGAACCCATCACCTTGAGCCATCACCTGCTGCCTCCCAGAGTGCACATTAGCAGGAAGCAGGAATGGAGAGCAGTGAGTAGAGCTGGCACTTGAACCCAGGCACTCTGATATGGAATGTGGGCATCCCAAGTGGCTGCCGTGCCACAGCATGTGCCCCCTTAAATCTAATTTATTCTCTAAAAGCCTTCCTTCAACCTGGTGTGACTTCATCCCTCCATGTGTACCTACCAACTTCCGTATGAGTGTTTCCTTCTTGTTTTTTCACTTGCTTACTCAGTGTTTACTTCCTTCACTAATTCATATAAATTATCTCACCAATATATTTACATATTTATTATACACCCCTGCCCCCAGCAACATGAACTCCATGCGCACCGGTGTATCCCTGGCATCTTAGGACCTAGTAAGTAGGTGGTTACTGAATGAGTAACCCTGTCCCTGTCTTCATCTGCATTTCCTAAGCATTTAGATATTCCCTTTATATCTGGAAATAATACAGAATTTCTCTGTTTGGTGTTTTTAGCTCTCACCTGAATGCCTTTTTTGTGTATTTGCAGCAAGATTGTGTGAAACTAGAACTGGCCTTGTACCCTAAAAAGAGCGGTGTTCTGCAGAGACAGATATCTGTGCGTGGCCGAGGTTCTCATCTTTTCTCCAGAACTGTCACTGATTTGCTGGGACATAACTTCTGCAACCTTTCATGAGGAAATCTCACATTTTCCCTCTCTTCCTCCCTCTGTCCTTCACCTCTTCCTGTGCCTCCACGCTTCCATTCAGCGATTTGGTGCCTAATGTGTGCCAGGCACATGGGGCAGATGTAGATGTAGTGAGCAGTGCTAGGCATAGCACCACCTTCACTGAGTTTACAATCTACCAGGGAAAGTAGATTGTTTTTTCTTTCTTTGGTTTCATTTCCTTTTACACTTTTTAAAAAAATTAATTTATTTGAGAGAGTTAGAGGGAGAGACAGAGAGAGCTCTTCCATCTGCTGGTTCACTCCTCAAATGGGGCTGGGCCAGCCTGAAGCCAGGAGCCAGGAGCTTCTTCCAACATGGATGCAGGGGCCCAAGCACTTGGGCCATCTTCTACTGCTTTCCCAGGTGCATTAACAGGGAGCTGGGTTAGAAGTGGAACAACCAAGACTCAAACCAGCACCATATGGGATGCCCGTGTCACAGGCAGTGGCTTAATCCACTACACTACAATGCTGGCCCTGGAATATAGATTTCAAATGAATAATTATACAAATAATAACTGATAGCATTTGAAAAAGTTTTATTATTTTTCTCTACCTCAGCAATAAATTGAAAGTCGTCTCTAAGCTATTAAATTGGTGAAGACATGCCCGTGTTTCAGGCCAGCATATGCAAATTAGTATATGAATAATAAGTATGTGAGCTAATATGTTGATGTTTTAGATCAATAGCTTGATTGAAAGTAGAAGAGAAACATATGACTTGAGATTGAGGTGTCGTGCCATCCGACAGTTGGGTGATCTGCAGTCCTGCAGTACTGCTGGCTGTGTCTGCCGCCTGCGCTCGCAGGGGATTGTTCGTCAGCGTTTGGTGATTGTGCGCTGTGAGCAGACCTCTCCGTGGGCCTTCTGCAGCCCGAGTCCAGGGCAGGCCCCTTCAAAGGTTCTCGTGTTTGTTTCTACCACATCTCCTGGAGTTATCACAAGGCTGGGAACGCTTTTTCTGTTAATTTGTCTTTAGGAAGAGAAATTTGGACCCCAGATCAGTGTGAGGATGGCTCCCCGCTTATAAATTCTCAGTTGTTTTTTTTTTTTTTTAAATTTTTTTTTTTTTTATTTTTGACAGGCAGAGTGGACAGTGAGAGAGAGACAGAGAGAGAAAGGTCTTCCTTTGCCGTTGGTTCACCCTCCAATGGCCGCCGCTGCAGCCGGCGCACCGCGCTGATCCGATGGCAGGAGCCAGGAGCCAGGTGCTTTTCCTGGTCTCCCATGCGGGTGCAGGGCCCAAGCACCTGGGCCATCCTCCACTGCACTCCCTGGCCATAGCAGAGAGCTGGCCTGGAAGAGGGGCAACCGGGACAGAATCCGGCGCCCCGACCGGGACTAGAACCCCGTGTGCCGGCGCCGCTAGGTGGAGGATTAGCCTAGTGAGCCGCGGCGCCGGCCAGTTTTTTTTTTTTTAACTCCTCTATATAGAGTCCACAATGGGGGCACTCTGCTGCTGGACGGTTTCCTAGACCTTTTCATTGATGGTGTAACCCTTTAGGGTCCTGAATTGTGGCCTAAGCCTTTGTTTTTCTGCCCCTACATGAACTTTGCGACCTTGACTGCTTAGTACCAGGATGGATGTTGCGGCACAATGGGTTAAGCCATCTTGCCATGCCTGCATCCCTGATTGGAGTGCCAGTTTGAATCAGGTGCTTCTGATCCGTCTTTTTTTTTCTTTTAGGATTCGTTTTATTCATTTGAAAGGCAGAGTTACAGAGACATGGAGAGACACAGAGAGATCTTCCATCTGCTGATTCACTCCCCAAATGGCCATAAGGAAGCCAGGAGCCAGGAGCTTCTTCTGTGTCTCCCACATGGGTGCAGGAGTCTAAGCACTTGGGCCATCTTCTGCTGCTTTCCCAGGTGCATTAGCAGGGAGCTAATGGAGCAGAAGTGGAGCACCCATATGGGATGCCGGCATCGCAGGTTGCAGCTTTACCTTTTATGCCACAGTGCCAGCCCCTTTCAGTTTCCTGTTAATGCACATCATGGGAGGCAGCAGATGATGGTTCAAGTTTTTGGGTCCCTGCCACCCATGTAGGAGACCCAGGTGGAATTCAAGGCTCCCAGATTTTTCATGGCCCAGCACTATTTGTTGCAGGCGTTTGGGGAGTGGATCAGCAAATGGAAGATCAATCTTTCTCTCTCCCCCCGCTCCATCCTTCTCTCCTCTCCTCTCCCTCTTCCCCTTTCTCTTCTCCCTCTCCCTCTTCTTCTTCCTCTCCCTCTCCCTTTCGTATTGATAAATCTTTTTAAAAAATTATTAGTGGTTTCTTTGTTTTTTAAATACTGAAGCATATGTGTGATTTTAAAAATTTTACTTTTTATTTGAAAGGTGAAGAGACAGAGATCTTTTATCTGTGGTCTGTTTCCCAAGTGCCTGTAATAGTTGAGGCTGGACCAGGCCAAAAGTGGGAGCCAAGAACTTAATCTGGGTCTCCCACGTGGTCAGCAGGGACCCAGCTACTTAAACCATCATCATAACTTCTCAGGTACACATTAGCAGAAAGCTGGATGAGGAGGTGGAGCTGGGTCTCCAATGCAGTATTCAGGCATCCGTCTTAACCACTGTGCCAAATTAGTGGTTATTAGTGGTCTCTAATAAATAGGTAGAGATTGAGAGTGATCATGGAAGCATATAACAACTTGGTATTTCTGTGATGCCTAAACTCATCTTCTGTCACCTTATTCTGCCCGCTCTGGCTCTTGGTTCCCTTTTCACTTTGGGGTCCTAGAGATTTTCCATACTGTCTTGCAAGCTTAGCTATCATATAGGGGTCTTTAAAGAGCTCATGGGAAATGCATCTTCTGAAAAAACCATGTATGGATTTCAAAAATGTTTTGCAGAAAAATATATCTTTTAATTCCATTTTTTCATCATCATTTTAAAGTCCCCTTGAATGCTACTTGCATTTCTAGGTGTTCTTTGTAAAAGGGTGCTCCAAATACTGCCATAGGCCCTTGCCAGAAGTAGGAGTGCTCTTCTGTTTTTGTATTTGCTTTTAAAACCATTATAACCTCGAGCTATTTTCCCCTCAAAGGAGCTTGAGCAGTCGGCTAAAGAGCAAGACAAAGAGTCGGAGAAGCAGCTTCTACTCCAGGAAGTGGAGAATCACAAAAAGCAGATGCTCAGGTAGGCAGGGCCTAGCCTCCTGCCCGTCACCTCTGCTGGGTCACCTGTTCCCTGTGAGGCTTATACATGCGTCTGTCTCATGGACTGGTTTACTGGTGACTTAACTGTGCCAAGGACACACGGGCTGATGTTCCTCCTAGGTCGGTAATTTTCAAATGGGGCCGGGGGAGGGATAAGCAGGACCTTAGGCGCAGGTGGAGCTGTGCATAGTTCACAGCAGCACATGTAGTAGTATTCTGCATCATATATGCATTTAAGAATGGGGTGGTTTTTATGTAAAGATGGTCGCTGATAGAAAAAGTCCACTGAAAGTAGATCTACTTAAGATGCACCAAAATCTAGGAAGTTTTGAATGGGCTGTCATCTGAACAAATGGATCAGAGAGGTGTAAATGTGCCTGTAGGATCGTAAGCCCAGTTGTGGTCAGTTGCCGCTGTGTGCTATTTCTTGATTCTGAGTTGGAGGAGATGCAGCTTTTCAGCTACACTTTTGCATCATAATCATAACAAAGGTTGTTAGAACAATACTGGAAGGGCTCCGTCAACTTTGCTGGTCCTCTGGGACAGATGGTTTGTTCTCTTTGGAAGGCCCACTGTCATCATTCCCACAGGTTTTCTCTTTGTCCCCTCGTCTGTGGGTCTAACCGCAGATTTGTGCCTGGCTATGGCTTGGCTTCGACTTTGAGTGATTCTCCGACATGAGCTCCTCCTCCCCCACCAGACAGCAGCTGTGTGTGACATGCGGCCGCAGGGGGAGACTCGGGCAGGGTGGAGCGAGCATGAGTAGGGAGGGGTTCATGAGTGGCAAGCAGTGCGCTAGTGTGTGGCTCAGTGTGATAACTCCATGTGGTGATGGCTGTGGCTTTCCCGAGCCACCGAGATCGCTCATGCTGTAAACACTGAGTAAGGAAGAGTCAAATAGTTACACCAGACATCATGAGCTTAGCACGGGCCTGATGCTGGGAGTGGCCCTTCGCCACAGGGAGTTACAAGGCAGAGGAGAGAGAACAGGAGGTTCATGCTTTGGCCGCTGTATGGAAACAGTAGTTGTGCTTGCCAGGTTGTCATGCTGGTCACAATGGACAGGATTTGTTCATGTGGCTTTCTCCTTGCGAGCCCCAGGCAGGCGGGCAACGGCCCTGTCACTCACTCCTCCACATCCCAGGGCCTGCGGAACTCCCTTGCTAATGCTTTGAAGATGTGATTGTTTCTTGTTAAGTGGCAAGTGTGACAAGGCAGAGCAGGTGCTGCTTGCACAACGGAGAGCCCCTTTGAAGACCTTCAGCACGCCGGGGTGCTGTGAGAAAGCCGCCCTGTCAGTTTGTACTCTGTCGCTTAACTTCTGAACATTTCCAGGGCTTTGCACAGTGGATTTGAGCTGTGTAAGAGAGCTGGAGCACAGGACACAAATCAGCTTTTGTGTAGTCTGTCAACAAATGCTACATTGCTAACTTCAGGGAGGTGTCCACCAAATTTCAGTTGTCTCTTGGAAGGGAAACAAATCATGTCCATCAGGACCCTGCTGTACAGCATGTGTGTGTTGTCTGTGATTGGTGTGTAGTGTGTAAGAAACAGCAAATCTTGGAGAACTGTTGAGAAATAATGGCTCCTTGTGATCTTTTTACTTCCTGAAACATACATTAATTCAGCAGTGGAGGGACCAAAACAGTTGCTTCTGTTTTGGAGATAGAAGGATGAGAAAGTTACAGTCATCAAGGAAGGACATCACCAGACCCGAGTTAGAGCTGTAAAGCCATGGCAGTCACTTTTCTGGTCTGTGTGCCCAGCTGCAGGGTAGCAGCCAGACCTGCCGGCTGGGCACACAGGCCCCTGACAATGACTTCTAAGGCTTTACTGCTCTGACTTGTGTCTTGTGATGTCATTCCTTGCCATCCGTGCTTTATGTCACTGCAGGCTGCTGCCTGGGGGATCAGGGCAGCTATAGAACACTGCAGGGAGCTGCGGGTTCCAGGTGAGAGCTGAGCTGGGCCTGAGCTCGAGCAGTTGCTGGGCAACCAAGAGGTAGGGCTGCATGCACCTGGGTGGCCTTCCCATTGCTCCTTTGCCAAAGGAGCTGCTGTGACTGGAACTAACAGCCTGGGGGAGTGGACAGAAACTCATGCATGACCCTTGTGATTCCAGCAATCAGACCTCGTGGAGGAAAGCTAATCTCACTTGCAAAATTGCCATCGACAATCTAGAGAAAGCAGAACTTCTCCAGGGAGGGGATCTCTTGAGGCAAAGGTATCTGTCTTTTTGTGTTTTCTCTGATAACAGAATAGATAACAATGGGCAAACTGTGAAACCCGCTAGAAGGAATAGCCTCTTGTTTTAATTTATATATATATATACACACACACACACACACACACACACATATATATACACACATACGTACATATATATATTACTATATAAGTAGTAATATTTTTAAAGGTTTGAAAGAAGTAAATGCTTATTTGTAATAAATTGGTAAGATAAAAGTATGACCTACAAAATGGAAATAAGCTATTGTTACTAATGAACATTCTGGAATATTGCCTCCTCCCATTATATTTTCTTTCATATTTATAAAATCATACTCTATGTAAAATTTAGTATCTTTAAAAATATATATTTATTTATTTATTTGAGAACTCCCTATCCACTGGTTCGTTCCTGAAATGACTGATGGTAAGGACTGTGCCAGGCCAAAGCCAGAAGCTGGGAACTCAGTCCAGGTCTCCCATGTGAGTAGCAGGGACCTAAGTACTTGAGCTATCACCTGCTGCCTTCCAGGGCATGCATTAGCAGGAAGCTGGATTCAGGAGTGGAGTGGGGATCTGAACCCAGGCACTCCAATATGGGATACAGGCATCTTAACCCCTTGACCAAATACTGGCCCTTAATATTTAGTATCTTCTTCATTTAATATTATAGCAGAAAGACTTGCTTATTTTTTTAAAAGATTTATTCATTTATTTATTTGAAAGTCAGAGTTACACAGAGAGAGGAGAGGCAGAGAGAGAGAGAGAGAGAGAGGTCTTCCATCGGATGGTTCACTCCCCAAATGGCCGCAATGGCCGGAGCTGTGCCGATCCGAAGCCAGGAGCCAGGAGCTTCTTCCGGTTCTCCCACATGGGTGCAGGGGCCCAAGGACTTGGGCCATCCTCCATTGCTTTCCCGGGCCCTGACTTGCTTTTTTTTTTTTTTTTTTTTTGACAGAGTGGACAGTGAGAGAGAGAGACAGAGAGAAAGGTCTTCCTTTGCCATTGGTTCACCCTCCAGTGGCCGCCGCGGCCGGTGCGCTGCGACCGGCGCACTGCGCTGATCCGATGGCAGGAGCCAGGTACTTATCCTGGTCTCCCATGGGGTGCAGGGCCCAAGGACTTGGGCCATCCTCCACTGCACTCCCGGGCCACAGCAGAGAGCTGGCCTGGAAGAGGGGCAACTGGGACAGAATCCGGCGCCCCGACTGGGACTAGAACCCGGTGTTCTGGCGCCGCAAGGCGGAGGATTAGCCTAGTGAGCCGCGGTGTCGGCAACTTGCTTATTTTTAAAAAAATGTTTAAACCTAATTTGAATAGTCTATAGTATCCTATTGTATTAACCAATCCCCTGTTACATGTTTACATTTCTAGCTTTTTGTTCTTATGAATAATACCCTGGGGTGTATCTGAGAACATAAGGCTTTCTCCACATTTTAGAAATGCCCTTTGAAGAAACTCCTAGGGCTGAGATGATCGAGTCAAAGGAGTGACCATCTCTAAGGCTCCCGGTACACGCGAGCAAGTTCTTTTCAGAAGGCAGCCCAGGCCGGCGCCGTGGCTCACTAGGCTAATCCTCCGCCTAGCAGCGCCGGCACACCGGGTTCTAGTCCCGGTTGGGGCGCCGGATTCTGTCCCGGTTGCCCCTCTTCCAGGCCAGCTCTCTGCTGTGGCCAGGGAGTGCAGTGGAGGATGGCCCAGGTGCTTGGGCCCTGCACCCCATGGGAGACCAGGAAAAGCACCTGGCTCCTGGCTCCTGCCATCGGATCAGCGCGGTGCGCCGGCCGCAGCGCACCAGCCGCGGCGGCCATTGGAGGGTGAACCAACGGCAAAGGAAGACCTTTCTCTCTCTCTCTCTCACTGTCCACTCTGCCTGTCAAAAAAATAAAAAAATAAAAAATAAATAAAAAAAAAAAAGAAGGCAGCCCAGTTTATGTTCTTCCAGTCTACAAGATGGTGGTCTCTGCACCCCCTGGCTGGCACTGACTGATAGTTTAAGGCGTAGTTGCTCATTTGATCAGTAAAAAATAGGGTTTCATTTGAACATGAGACTTGCTTGCTGCGAGGCTTTTGTTGACATTTGTCCTCCTTCTCCTTGTGACTTTTAGGAAAACCACCAAGGAGAGCCTGGCCCAGACGTCCAGCGCCATCACCGAGAGCCTCATGGGCATCAGCAAGATGATGTCCCAGCAGGTCCAGCAGAGTGAGGAAACCATGCATACCCTAGGTAAAGCTGGGCCCAGAGTAAGAGGCTTCTCCCAGAGACACTGACCCCACAGCCCCTGCCCGGCCAGCTGCACCCCAGGCTCCTGCCCCTCTGCCGCAGCAGCTTCCTCACCGCGGTGGTGAGGTGCCGCTTTATTTCTCTTTCCAGTTACAACAGTTTAGGAGCCCCCCACACCCCATGGATGCCCCTGCAGTGGAAGAGTTCCCTGGGGCTCTGTGTACAACAGAGACCCCCAGCCCTGTCCTGGAGCAAGGGTATCAGCAGGGCTTGGCTGAGGTCTGGTTTTCAGTGAGGACAATGAGGACTTTATGGCTAGGCAGGTGTAGGAATTGTTGCCCAAGAGATGTTTTGTGTAAAGGCCACTGGCTGGCCTGCTAGGAACACTGGAGGCTTCTCTGAGATCCTTCCAGACAGGGAAACAGAAAAACAGCTAACTCCTTGACTCCCATCTGAACGTTTCACAGAGACTGAAGAGGAGAGCAGGGCGTCGAGAATCCCAGTCAGCAGTGCCCGGCTCCGTTCTGCCCTCCCCTCCCTGCTCCTCCCCCTCGGAGATTGTTGTCACCAAACCCCAGACATCATCTCTGGCCCTCAGTGTCTGTGAAAGAAAAAGGCCTCTTTGAGTTGGGGAGGGGGGCCACAAAATAAAATACCCCAGAACTGCAGTACCATTATGACCCCTAAAAATGATCTGTAATTTGGAACTCATTCTTTTTTTTTTTTTTAAGAATTTATCTTATTTATGTTGAAAGAGTTATAGAGAGGGAGAGTCAGAGAGAGAGATCGATCTTCCATCCAGTGGTTTACTCCCCAGATGGCTACAATGGCCAGAGTTAGGCCAGGTTGAAGCCAGGAGCCAGGAGCTTCTTCTGGATCTCCCATGTGGGTAGCAGGGACCCAAACATTTGGACCATCTTCTGCTGCTTTACCCAGGCTATTAACAGGGAACTGGGTGGGAAGTGAAGCAGCTGGAACTCAAACCAGCACCCATATGGATGCTGGCATCACAGGTAGTGGCTTTACCCGCAGTGCCACAACTCTGGTCCTAAGGAACTCTTTATTTTCAGTGCATCATTGAAACAGGAAGAAGCTAAAGCACAGCAAGCAAGTAACCCAGGGTCACACCTTGTGTTTGAAACTTGGCTTGGGGGCTGGCGCTGTGGCTCACTTCGCTAATCCTCCGCCTGCAGCACTGGTATCTCATATGGGCGCCGGGTTCTAGTCCCGGTTGCTCCTCTTCCAGTCCAGCTCTCTGCTGTGGCCTGGGAGGGCAGTGGAGGATGGCCCAAGTGCCTGGGCCCCTACACCTGCTTGGGAGACCAGGAGGAAGCCCCTGGATCTGGCTTTGGATCAGCGTAGCTCCAACTGTAGCGGCCTTTTGGGGGTGAACCAATGGAAGGAAGACCTTTCTCTCTGTCTCTCTCTCTCACTAACTCTACCTGTCAAATAAATTAAAAAAAAAAAAAAAGAAAAAGAAACTTGGCTCAAAACCAGCAGTCACTTCCTCCAGCATGCTCCATGGGCACGGCCTGTATCTTAAGAAACCCTGGAGAAAGTGAGAGGCTGGAGACAATTTGGCTTTTGAGTCTCAGGTGTTTATGCTGCACAAAGGGTAACAGGATACCCCTCATGCTGATGGTTTCTGGGGTGTTGAGAGGGCCCCCTAGTGTGAAGGTTGTTCTTGGGTGCATTTGGTAGAGGAGAAAGCCATTGACAGAAAAGTGCAGGTCTTAATCCTTGCCTGGACTTAAAAGCTTGTTAGGACCACAACTTAAAAAAGCCTATTGAGGATGTGGTGTCTGGGATTTGCTGCAATATTGCAGGAGTTGGGGGCATTGAGTGGGGGTCAGGAGGGAACAGGATTGCCTGGCAGTTCTTGGGTGTGGGGGAAGGGTATGTTGCATTTCAGGGCACTGTTCTGTCTTTTGTGATAGCTCAAAATCCAAAGTATAAAAACAAAAGTCTGTTGATGGTTTTTCCTTATCAAGTTCTGGCTCATGTTGGTTTGGGGAATGGAAGTGGGTAGGGTGGCTGGTGGGTATTGGTTTCAGAGAGCTGAGGCGGGTGATGAGGTAGGCACCCGCTGCTCCCTGTCTCCCTACTGAGGACTCCTTCCAAGCTGTCTGCAAGCCCCTCCTCTGCTGCTGGATGGGGCCTGGGGAAGAGCATGTCCTCGTTAGGTACTTGTCCTCTGTGCTCATGGCAATGGCCTCCATTCTGGCTCAGAGGAACCGGCTGCAGAGCTGTGTTGTCTTACTGGCCCCTAAGAGCAGCAGAGCAGGCTCTTTGGCTTAGGTGCTGTGCAGTCTTGAATCAGACTCCCTCCTTCTTCTGTTTCAGTCAACTCTTCACGAACCATCCTAGATGCAAATGAAGAATTCAAGTCCATGTCGGGGACCATCCAGCTGGGCCGGAAGCTCATCACCAAGTACAACCGCCGGGAGCTGACAGACAAGCTGCTCATCTTCCTTGCCCTGGCCCTTTTCCTCGCCACAGTCCTCTATATTGTGAAAAAGCGGCTCTTCCCCTTTCTGTGAGGTTGAGGGCCGCCAGCTCTGGCCCCTAAGCTCCTGTTTCAGGATCCATCCAGGCTTCTGAGCTCCAGCCCAGGCTGCCAAACTGAGCCACCCCAGCCAGCTGCCTGGCTGCTCAGCAGGTCTGATGAAGAGGCAGCACGTCGGCTTTCTGTAAGTGGCTTGTCCTGTGGCAGGGGCATCCTATCACTACAAGGCCATCCTCGGATGCCTGTGGGACACAGGCACTCCCTGCTCACTGTGCTGTCGTGACTGTGGGTGGCTGCCTCATGGCGTTTAAGATCCCAGCTTTGGGACTTGAGGCTCCTCTCTCCCTTTCCCTGCCAGGGCCTTCAAGGCTGGATCTGGTGGAGAGAAGAGGTGACAAAAAGGATGAGAAAACTCATTCCTGTTCCATAAGTAAACGTTGACTATTTAATAGGACGTCATGCGTTTGGTGTTAGAAGGTCTCCTTCTGGGGATCTGTGTGGCTCTTTTCCTGATAGCCAGGTTTCTAGGGTGTGAACTTGGGTTGTTTATTCATTCAGCAGAGAGTGACTAAGCAGCTGCCACATGTGGTGTGATGCAGAGACACTGCTGAGCACCACACGTGCACCAGCAGGCCTGGCCCTTCCCTCCAGCAGCAGCAGAAATAAGGTGGGTGCGGGCTCTGGGGAAGGCAGGCAGCCCTGCGGGAGGAGCCTCAGCCTGCGTCTGGACTCTGCCCTCTAGCACGGCAGCCTGGTGGGGCCCAGAGCGTGCAGTGACAAAGGACCCATGCCTTTCTCTCTGGAGTCCAGACTAAGTGTAACCACGGAGGGAGAAGCTAAGGCCAGAGGGATTGGGCCCAAGCTAGGCCTGCCCTGGTCATGTTGGTATTCCTTGTGTTACAGGCCTGGCTGCCTTTGCACTTGAAATCCCAGCCTCCCCCACTATTTATAGCCCCAGGGGACCTGGCAGGGCGATGTGGAGGCAGAAGGGAAAGTGGAAAGAACAAACTCAGATCCCTGGCTCAGACACTTGGTTTTGAGTGTTTGCTCTACTGCTAAGGGACCACATGACCGTAAACAAGTTATTTTATATAGCCGAGCCTCAGTTTCCCCATCTGTACAGTGGCGGTAATATCCGCCTTCTTAGAGGCAATCTGAGAGTCAAAAGGAGATGAAATAACAAGTGCAGCTTCCTTTTGACTGGGCTCGCCTTGGGCTTCCCAAGTGCTGCCACCCCCAGGCTCTGGCCCCTGAGGTTTCTTGCGACATAGTCATGGGCTTCCAGAAGGCAGCGGCAGTTCTGCGTTAAACCTTTTTGAGCAGGATCTGGAGTTAAGGCCTCAGTTATGAAGGGACGGATCATCAAGGGACCAAGTTGAGACTGGTTGCATGCCCCAGACAAGCCTTATAAGTAGGTTCTGAGTTGGTGTGTGTGTGTGGACACACATTTTCTATGTATCATCCTTAAACAATCCAGGCCCCAGAAGACACGCGTGCAAATTATGTGAGCATGTGTCTTATTTATAGTCCAATTAAAGCCAAGAATAAAGCGCAGATGGGAAATTCCCCCTCGGATTCCAGCTGTAAGTGCAGCAGATGGATGTTATCACATTAGGATTTTCTTGTCTTAACATTTTTCTTTACTGTTTCCCACTAATCGTCAACATCCTCTTCACAATATGGAAATGTGTGAGCTCTGTTCTCCCTACAGATTCTCCCTTTGACATTTTATTCCTCTTTTACTTGCCTTCTGAAACAGAGTTGGATTTGACCCATTTTGAAATGTTGAAAACCTATGAAGAGGCCTTCAAAAATTTAATGGAAATCCATACTGTGGAAAACCTACACGTGGAGTTCAAAATGCCTGCACCAAAGCAAACTTACCTTTTGGTTCCATTATTCTGTGAAGTTTCTGAAGTCCCTTCATTCTGGCAACCCTGGTCAGCCCCTAGGTTTAAGCCCTCCCACTCTGTTGGCTGTGTAAGAAGCTGCCCTCCCACAGTCAACCATCAGAGGGCAGTATCCACATTTGCTCTGCCATCTGGTAGTGGGGTGATTGTCTCTCTCCATTTGAAATGTTCTACTGGACTTTTAGAAACAGATGACAAATTTTTTTTCAAAAGCCATATGAATGTACAATGCTTAGCTATATCTTGTTTTTGAAATCTGTTTCATAAGTGGCCGTAATTTTCACTGTTAATCAGTGAGGCAAGTTCATGAGCTGTGTTGTGGTTAGTTGACAGTCAAGGAATTGAAAGATTCCCTGAGATGGTTCATTCAAGATATATTTACTGAGCACTTACTGTATACCAAGCACTTGTGTTAGGGATGCACGGTAAATAAAAACAGATGCCCCAGGCCGTTGCCACGGCTCACTAGGCTAATCCTCCGCCTTGTGGCGCCGGCACACCTGGTTCTAGTCCCGGTTGGGGCGCCGGATTCTGTCCCGGTTGCCCCTCTTCCAGGCCAGCTCTCTGCTGTGGCCAGGGAGTGCAGTGGAGGATGGCCCAAGTGCTTGGGCCCTGCACCCCATGGGAGACCAGGATAAGTACCTGGCTCCTGGCTTTGGATCAGCGCAGTGCGCCAGCCGCAGCCGCGGTGGCCATTGGAGGGTGAACCAATGGCAAAGGAAGACCTTTCTCTCTGTCTCTCTCTCTCACTGTCCACTCAGCCTGTCAAAAACAAACAAACAAACAAAAACAGATGCCCCATGTCAGGGAGCTGCAGTCATTCATTATGTAAGGTAATAGTGGCCTGGGGAGAAGCAGAGCAGGTTAGTGAACACCTGGGATGTTTGCAGTGGGAAGCAGAGTAGTCAATGTTGGCCTCACTGGGGTGAGATCTGAGTAAAGGCTGGAGGCACTGGGGCTGGTGTTGTGGAGCAGTGGGTTAAGCTGCTGCTTATGACTCTAGCACTCTGTGTATGAGCACTGCTTCAAGTCCCAGCTGCTCTGCTTCCAGTCCGGCTCCCTGCTGGTTCACCTGGGAGGCAGCAGATGGTGGCCCAAGTGTTTGGGTCCCTGCCACCCCCTGGGAGATGTGGATGGAGTTCCAGGCTTCTGACTGGGCCTGGCCCAGCCCCTGGCTGTTATGGCCATTTGGGGAGTAAACCAGTAGTTGAAGATCTCTTGTTGCTGTCTCTTTTTCTCTTCCTGTCACTCTTTCAAATAAATAAATCTTTTATTTAAAAAAAAATTAAGGAGTTCTGCACAAAACAAACATAACAAAAAAGACAGGAGGCAGGCAACTGAGCCACGTGCAGGTGAGGGCAGAGGTTCCACAAGGAGGGAGCGGCCACGCAGAGGCCGAGCAGGTCCATGCAGGTGGCGGAGCTGAGGGACAGCAAGGAAGCCAGCATGGCAGGGCGTGGCAGGAGCAGAGCGTGAGGTCTCCATGCCGCCCGCCGCTCAGCAGTTCTTCCAGGGCGTCCCGGGCTGTGTGAAACCACGCTCTCTTGTGTTTCCTTTCACTTCTCGGCAGCGCCTCCCTCTGTTCATCTTCTCAGCCTTAAATGCTGCTCAGATCCTGTTCCCTCCCCTCCCTTCGTGTATTCTCTCAAAGCCAAGGTCTTCCATGACTCCAGCTTCAGTGGTCCCCGAGTTCTGTCAGCAGTGCCCACTTCTCAGGGGAGCGCTGACCCCAGGATCATCATCATCACCCCAGAGACTCTCAGGCCCTCCACCTGCGTGCATGGCCGACACCCGCCCCACAGCAGGCCCTTCTCCAGGCTGCACTTCCATTTCCCCTTCTGGGGTCTGCTGGGGCTCGGGGCATACCACCCCAGAATATGTCTGTGGGAGACCAGAATATGCCACCCCAACATCTTCTCTGGCATATCCTGGGCTGGTTTTTCCGAGAAACCCAGATACTGGAGTAGTTCTGAAAAGCTTTATTTAGAGACATTTTGTAGAGAAGGGACATTACATTAGCAGAGGACCTGGGTCAAGAGGAGGGCAGCCCCTGACTCAGGGGAGAAGGACCTCCCCTGTGTGGGAGACCTCCTCAGCTCCCCACTGCCCCCCTACAGCTGTCACCACTGTCCCCAGGAGCCCACAGCCCCTGTTCTTGTCTGTAGCTCAGACTGCCCTGTGAGCTTCCATCACTAACCCTTCTTGTCTCCGGCTTGTGGGGCTTTCCATGTGCTTCAGCACATATCTAAGTGCAGGTTTTCTCTGGTTAACCTGGTTTATGGCCATTTAATCTGTTGCCTAGACAAAGCCCCTCAGAAAGGTGGGTGGAAGGCGTGTTTTATTCTCCTGCAGACCCCTCTCCCATGGAACCTTGTTCCCCCAAACCAGAGATGAGACTACTTCAGCAGTGCCTGGAAATGACGTTTGCAGGAGCTGGCAACAGGACGCCGTGTTGGTGAATTTAGCTCTCCCTCACCCCGTGCCCCACTGAAGGCAGTTTGGCAGGGTAACTCAATATGGAGAGGAAGGAAAAGATAGTAAAACAAGTTCTATTTTCTTCCCGGCCTAATGGTGGTCTTCTCTCAGGCCCCTCCACCGAGTAGGCCCAAGCTGTGTTTCTTCCCCAAGCAAGGGCAGAATAAAAATAGCTGAGGCTAATCTAAGAGATAGCAGACAGGAGTCTCAGCAGTGCTGTCAGGAATGACGGCCTGCAGCCTGGGGTGAGGGGAGGGTGGGTGTTATCACCCCCAATGTCCCTTCAGTCCCCAACAGCAAGCCCAGGCGACACACCAAGAGCCCTGGGGACCGTGGCCATGGGCATGGTGTTGATCAGTCTGTATCTTTAATGGGCTACCGTGCAGCAATTAAAATGCAGCCTTTGGTGGCAGAGGCCTGGGTTCTGACTGTCCTCTTCTCCATCATTGTCTCCTGTCTGCAGCACAGGGACAGCCAATGGCAAGGGCACTGGGAGGAACAGAGCACAAGAGGCTAGGCAGGTAGAGACTCCCGCGTCCCACCTTGGAGTGCCTGGGTTCCGTCCTTCTCCCCAGGTCCTGAGTCCAGCTCCCTGCTGGGGTGGACCCCGAGAGGTAGCTGTGATAGCTCGAGTAAGTGGTTCCTGCCACCTACACGGGAGACCTGGATTGGCTTCTCAGCCTGACTGCAGCCATTGCAGGCGTTTGCAAAGTGAGCTGGCTGGCGGAAGTTCTCTTTTGTCTCTCTGCCTCTCAAATACATTTTTAAAAGAAAAGGACTAAACCTAGACCAAGAACACGTAAGGCGCCTCTCACACAGTAACCCCAATAGCTGCCACGCTCATTCCCAAACAAAAGTTGAGTGGCCTCATTCCCCTTTCTCTTTTGGGCTTAACTTCAGGAAAACAGTGCTTAAGATGAGAAGAGGCTGCTGGGCTTGGCAAGGAAACAGAAACCCAGGCTGCACTTTCTCAAACGGCTGAGAGCTGAGGGTAGGGCAGAGCAGGCCCTGGCCAACGGCCCTCCTTCCCAGTCCACAAGAAAAGCAAATGGGTCACATTAGCTCAGTGTGAAATGTTGTCTTTCCTATTATTTTTAAATCATTATTTTCTCCCTCCTTCCCCGGAAATCTTTTGAAAGGAAGAGTGACACACAGAGAGAGAGGGAGAATCAGAGAGATCTTCTGTCTGCTGGTTCACTCCCTAAATGACCACGAAGGCTGGGATTGGGCCAGGCCAGAGCCAGGAGCCAGGAACTCCATCTGGGTCTCCCATGGGTGACAGGGTCCAAAGTAATTGGGCCATCATCTGTTGCCTTTCCAAGGGCATCAGCAGGGAGCTGTATCAGAAGTGGAGCAGCCAGAACTTGAACCAGCCCAGCATCTATAGGAGGAGGCCTGTGTTGGCAAGTAGCAGCTTAACCCACTACGACACAACACCCGCCCCTCCCCTGCCATCTTGTTTGATGGACAAGAGTTCTCCTCAGTGAAATGAATCCAGAGCAGCAAATGACTAGAGGCTGCAAAACGAGCAAGGGGCAAATCAGGCTTCTAAAAATATTTATTTATTTAATTCTTTTTTGGACAGGCAGAGTTAGTGAGAGAGACAGAGAGAAAGGTCTTCCTTTTCTGTTGGTTCACCCCCAAAATGGCCGCTACGGCCGGTGCTCTGTGGCTGGCGCGATGCGCCAATCCGAAGCCAGGAACCAGGTGCTTCCTCCTGGTCTCCCATGCAGGTGCAAGGCCCGAGCTCTTAGGCCATCCTTCACTGCCTTCTCGGGCCACAGCAGAGAGCTGGCCTGGAAGAGGAGCAACTGGGACAGAATCCGGCGCCCCAGTCGGGACTAGAACCCGGGGTGCTGGCACCGCAGGCGGAGGATTAGCCAAGTGAGCTGCAGCGCCAGCCAATTTATTTAATTTTAATTTGAGAGAGAGAGGTGACAGAGAGCTCCCCTCTGCTGGTTTATTCCCCAGATGCTCACAACAACTGGGGTTGAACCAGGACAAAGCCAGGAGCTAGGAACTCCATCCAGGTCTTCCATGTAGGTGACAGGGACCCAACTACTTGGGCCACCTCCTGCTGCCTCCCAGGGAGCACAGTCACAGGAAGCAGGATTGGAAGTGGAGGAGCCAGGACTCCAGTGTAGGATTCAGGCATCTCAAGTGCTGTGCCAGACACTTGCTGTGGCCTGTCACTTTTAAGCTAGTTGCTGGACTGATAGGAAAGACAAGACTGCTCACGGCAGGAGTTTCTATCTCTACGAAGGGTGCTCCTGGTTTGCGTGGTCTGGCTCTTCTGAGCCCATGATGGATTAGAGGACAGGGTAGCAGGGGCTGCTAGGCTGCAGGGCCCTTAGCTGCCTTCCTGAATGCCCTCCTTCCCTACGCCTGCCCCACTGCCTTCCTGTGTGTGTCCTGCAGCCAGTCTCCACGCTGGGCCCGGAAGACCCAAGAGTAAGCTTGCTGCAGCCTCACAAATGAGCCTGTCAGGAGACCATCCCAGAGCCAGCAGACACACCCAAGAGTGGCCCAGGGCCCCTGGGAAGCCCAATGCTGTGATTCCTCTAGACCACCTAGAAGCAGCAGTTGGCAACACTTGGCGTGACGTTGAAGTTCGGAGTGTTAAGTTCGGGATGGGATCCTGATGCGGATACAGTTACCCAGTGTTCACTGTGCGCCTCTCACCGTGTGTCCCACTCAAGCAGGAGGTGGGTGGCAGTGTTGCAGCAGAAACAGTCGGGGCCCAGAAAGAAGCCCAGGCAGGTTCACACAGGCAGTCGCCAGGTGGACCTGGGCTTCAGATCCAGGTCGTGGGGCTCCAGGGTCTCTGGAATCCTCTCCATGGCAGGAATGAGAGAGGCCAAGGAAGCTGGGGCTGAGAGGTGAGGGATGGCAGGCGGGCATGGGCGGGCACTAGAAGGACTGGTTCCTGTCCCTGCGTAGGGCAGTGACAGAGCAGAAGGGAGGAGGGAGTTGGAGGGTGGGGTGGTGCCTGAGCGCCACATAAGCAAAGGAAGGAATTCACTTGGAGAACAATCCAGGCACCTTGCTCTCCAAGGCCTCAAAAGCGTGAACACAGAATCACCATATGATCCAGCCATTGCGCTTTGGGTACAGACCTAAAAGAACTGAGAGCAGAAACTAGAACAGATCTTTGTACCCCTCTCTATATAGGATTATTCACAACAGCTAAAAGTGACCATATAGTGACTGAAGGGTGAGCAGAATAACAAAATGAGGTGTAGTCATATGATAGAATAATCGTCATCCTTCACAAAGGAGCAGTGGGCTTTTCTGAAAAAAGAAAGAAAGAAAGAAAGAAAGAAAGAAAGAGAGAGAGAGAGAGAGAGAGAGAGAGAAAGAAAGAAAGAAAGAAAGATAGATTCCAATACATGCTATACTGTGGGTAAACATTCAAAACTTTATGCTAAGTGAAATAATCCACAAAGGGGCAAATATTATTTAATTCCATTGACATAAGTGCCTGGAATAGTTAAATGCATAGCGAGAGAAAGTAGGATAGAAATTACTGGGACTGCAGAGAGCAGAGAATGAGGAGTCAGTGTTTCTTGGACATCGATTCTCTCAGTTTGGGCTGGAGATGGTTGGTAGTGCTGATGGCGCAATGTTGAATGTCCTTAATTAATGCCACTTGGTAATGACTGAAATGAACACTCTGACAGCTGCCATTGGTTCTGATTTCCAGTTTGCCGCACAATCCCAGAACCTGCCTCTGTCAGAGCTTCCTCATGGCCCCGGCACCAGCCAGGCTATGGCCACCTGACCCAGGAGTCTGGCTTCTGCTCCCCTACTCTCTGTTCCACCAGCTGTAGGCGTGGTTGCTGCTCTCTGTATCCACCCCCCACCCCATCCTTGTGGCACCTCAGGACTCACTTTAGGTTTGCCTTTTAAATTCTTCAGTGTTTGGTTAACCTGCTCCCTGTATGAAATTATGAAATTCCACTGGGATGGGTGTTTGGCTTAGAGGTTGGGATACCAATTAAAACACCTAAATCCTATATTGGAGCGAGTGCCTGGGTTCAGCACCTGGCTCTGGCTCCTGACTCCAGCTTCCTGCTAATGCAGACCCTAGGAGGCAGTGGTGATGGCTCAAGTAGTTGGGTTCCTGCCTCCCACAAGAGAGATCTGGATTGAATTCCAAGCTGTTGCTGACATTTAGGAAGTAAACAGGTAGATGGGAAATTTCTGTCTATCTTTCCTGCCTCTCAGATTAATACACCAAATTCTAATGGGGAAAAACAAATATCATGTTATGTATATTTTACTACTACAGGAATTTTTTTAAAAGATTATTTATTTGAAAGAGTTACACAGAGGGGAAGGAGAGACAGAGAGAGAGAGAGGTCTTCCATCCACTGGTTCACTCCCCAACTGGCCAGAGCTAGGCCAATTCGAAGCCAGGAGTGGGTGCAGGGGCCCAGGGAGTTGGGCCATCTTCCACTGCTTTCCTGGGCCATAGCAGAGAGCTGAATTGGAAGTGGAGCAGCCAGGATTCAAACCACTGTCCATATGAGATGCCGGCTTTATCCACTATGCCACAGCGCCAACTCCCATGGAAATTTTTAAAGTGGGAGGGATTTCCTGGGGCCAGTAGTCCAGGATGCCTGGGCCATGCTGAGGACAGCCTCCTGGTCTCAGGTGCACAGCCCCGGACTCTGCCACCTACTGTGGCCCTGCTCTGCTCCAGCATAAGCAGCTTCTTGCCAGCCACTTGCAGCTCTGGGACTTCGGGTGGAAAGGCACTGTCCCCCCAGAGCCAGCAGGAAAGCCCAGGCAGGCAAGGGGCGCCCAGTGCAGACGCTGGACACCCCAAAGTGAGCTCCAAACCCCCCTCAGCCCCTGTACCGTCTCCAGAAGGAGCTTTCCTTTGTCCCTCCCTGTCCCTACTGCTTTCATGGGACCTCAGTGGCTTAGCCTTAGGCTAACCTCGGAAACCTTCCCTGGCCCCAACCCCGGGCTTGAGGTGTATTCCTGGAACTGAGGTCGGGGACAGGGAGGAGGAGAACAATGGGCTGGGTGTGGTCATTGGCAGAGGAAGGCTGGGGACCTCCAGTGTCACCAGGGGAGGTGTCAGTTTACCTCTAAGCCCTGCCAGGGGGTCCGTTGTCTTGGTCTCCCTTTCCCAAGGTGACAGACAGCCTTCCTCCAGTGTCCCCAGTGAAGGCCTAGGCAGAGCCAAGGATGGGGGGTGGGGGTGGGAACAGTGGGGTGGGGGCAGATGGATGGAGGGGAGCTGAGCACCAGCTGAGCATCGCCCGGGTTCTAAGGTTCTTGGGAATTTGGGTTCAAGAAACACTGTGTCACTCTGAGATCCTTTAACAAGAAGTTTCCAAATTCTCAGTTTCTTCCATCAAAAGTGGAGCCCGGGGCCGGCGCAGTGGCTCACTTGGTTAATCATCCGCCTATAGCGCCGGCATCCCATATGAGCGCCGGGTTCTAGTGCCAATTGCTCCTCTTCCAGTCCAGCTCTCTGCTGTGGCCAGGGAAGGCAGTGGAGGATGGGCCCCTGCACCCACATGGGAGACCAGGAGGAGGAACCTGGCTCCTGGCTCCGGATCGGGACAGCGGCCATGGTGGCCATTTGGGGGGTGAACCAACAGAAGGAAGACCTTTCTCTCTCTCTCTCTCTCTCTCTCTCTTTCTCTCTCTCACTGTCTATCTGTCAAATAAAAAAAAAAGTGGAGCCCAAGTCCTCTGATTTTCCACATGGGTTCACTTTCGTGACTTGTTTCGGACTCTAGACTGTGGTGGAGTCACACACACTGTGACACCTGAGACTCCCTGATAGGGCCTGTTGGAGCCACCTGGCGCTCTTCCTGGGAATACTTGCTGTTTGTTTTGTTTTTTAAGATTTACTTGAGAGACAGAGGCAGAGAGAAAGAGAAGTCTTTGATTTGCTGGTTCACTCCCTAGATGGCTGCAACGCTGGAGCTGTGCCAATCCAAAGCCAGAAGCCAGGAGCTTCCTGCAGGTCTCACATGGGGTGCAGGGGCCCAAACACTTGGGCCATCTTCTACAGCTTTTCCAGGCTGTAGCAGAGAGCTGGATCAGAAGTGGAGCAGCCAGGACTTGAACTGGTGCCCATATGGGATGCCGGTGCTGCAGGCAGCAGCTTTACCTGCTATGCCACAGCACTGGCCCCATACACTTGCTGTCTTTCACCCCAGCCACCACGCTGTGCTGTGCGGAGGCTCCAGCAACACCTACTGATGCTCTCTTGCCCAGCTGAGGTTCCAGTCAACAGCCTGCAGGCATCAAGTACCAGGCCTTCTACACAATTTCAGGGCCAGCCGCCAGGAGACTGCTCTGCATCAGAGACTCGAGGCAGGAAACTCCCAGCTGAGCCCAGCCAATCCCCAGAACCACAAGAGAGAGTACCAATAATGCCAGCAGACTTGGGGTGATTTGTTACTCAGCGCAAGATGCATATAGCATGCCGCCCTGCCTCTCTCGCGGTATACATTCCCTGGGTTGATTTTATCTTTATTGTATGAACATCAGGTTTGTTTTGATTATCAAAGTGAAACACGCTGATGTAGAATGAACCTAAGTGTTGGGGCTGGCGCTGTGGCTCACATGGTTAATCCTCCACCTGCAGCGCCGGCATCCAATATAGGCGCTGGGTTCTAGTCCCAGTTGCTCCTCTTCCAGTCGAGCTCTCTGCTGTGTGTTGGGAAGGCAGTGGAGGACGGCCCAGGTACTTGGGCCCCTGCACCCGCATGGGAGACCAGGAGGAAGCACCTGGCTCCTGGCTTTGGATCAGCGCAGCGTACCGGCCATGGCGGCTATTTGGTGGGTGAACCAACAGAAAAGGAAGACCTTTCTCTCTGTCCTCTCTCTCTCTCTCACTATCTGACTCTGCCTGTCAAATAAAGAAAAAAAAAAGGATATAGGAAGAAAGAAAAAAGATGATGTCTAACCTCTCTTTAAAAAAAAAAAAAAGAATGAACCTAAGTGTCCATCGATGAATGGATAAGGAAAATGTAGTACATATACACGATGGCATAATATTCAGTGATAAAATACATGAAATCTGTCATTTTCAGGAACTGGAGGTCATTGTGTTAAGCACAGAAGGGCTGCAAACTGCATGTTCTCACTTAGATGTAGACACTAAAATGTTGCTCTACAAGAAGCAGTGAATTAAGCAGTGGTTACCAGAGCCTGGCAGGGGTATGGGGAGGGGAAGGTGGGGGGAGGCGGGTTAATGAGTGCAGGGTTGTGGGGTAACTGTGATTGACAACAGTAATTGTTTCCAAATAGCTGGTAGAGAGGATCTTGAATGTTCCCAACACAAAGAAATGATAGCTGTCTGAGGTGATGGTTATGCCCATCTTCCTAACTTGAACACTCTGTACTGCACACATGGATTGAAAGGTCACAGTGAGGAGCCAGTGCTGTTGCGTAGCATGTAAAGCTGCCACCCACAGTGCCAGCATCCCATACAGGCACCAGATTGAGTCCTGGCTGCTCCATTTCTGATCCAGCTCTCTGCTATGGCCTGGGAAAGCAGTGGAAGATGACCCAAGTCCTTGGGCCCCTGCACCCATGTGGGAGACCCAGAAGAAGCTCCTGGCTCCTGGCTTCAGATCAGCCCAGCTCTGGCTTTTGCATCCACCTGGAGAGTGAACCAGCGGTTGAAAGACCTCTCTCTTTCTCTCTCTGCCTCTATATATATATAACTCTGACTTTTAAATAAATAAATCTTAAGGAAAAAAAAGTGTACTTAGAAAGAAATGTCACAAGGTATTCTGTAAATTTGCACAACTACTATGTGTCAGTTAAAATTGTGTATATTTATAAAAGAATCCCAGAGCTCCCATGGTGGTGCAGCACTTGCAGCCACACTGGCTTCCCAGATTGGAGCACTGGCTGCAGTCCTGGCTGCTCCACTTCTGATCCAGCTCCCTGCTAATGCACCTGGGAAGGGAGCAGATGATGGCCCAAGTGCTTGGGAACCTGCCACCCATTTGGGGAGACCCAGATGGAGATCCAGGCTCTTGGCTTCAGCCCAGCCCAGCCCTGGCTTTTGGGGGCATCTGGGGAGTGAACCAGCAGATGGAAGATTGATCTCTTTCATTCTCCCCCCACCTCTTTCTGTTGCTCTGCCTTTCAATATATCAATCGATGTATCTTTAAAAAAAAAAAAAGTCCTAAGTAACAAGAAATGATAAATGCTTGAAATGATGGATTTATTAGTTCCCCTTGATCCAATCATCACATAGCGAATAAAATATATTGAATTATCACACTGTGCCCCACAAATAAGTACAATTTTTTTTTTTAATATTTGACAGGTTGAGATAGAAGACAGAGAGATCTTCCTTCCGTTGATTCACCCCCCATATGGTCGCTATGGCCGGTACTGCGCCTATCTGAAGCCAGGAGCCAGGTGTTTCCTCCTGGTCTCCCATGCGGGTGCAAGAGCCCAAACACCTGGGCCATCCTCCACTGCCCTCCCGGGCCACAGCAGAGAGCTGGACTGGAAGAGGGGCAACTGGGACAGAATCCAGTGCCCATATGGAATGCCAGCACCGCAGGTGGAGGATTAACCAAGTGAGCCACGGCGCCAGCCCCAAGTGCAATTATTTTTTATAAAGATTTATTTATTTGCAAGTCAGAGTTACACAGAGAGGAGAGGCAGAGAGAGAGAGAGAGGTCCTCCATCCGCTGGTTCACTCCCCAGTTGGCCGCAACGGCCAGAGCTGCGCCAATCTGAAGCCAGGAGCCAGGAGCTTCTTCCAGGTCTCCCACGTAGGTGCAGGGTTCCAACGACTTGGGCCATCTTCCACTGCTTTCCCAGGCCATAGCAGACAGCTGGATTGGAAATGGTGCAGCCGGGTCTCAAACGGGCGCCCATATGGGATATGCCGGCACTTCAGGCCAGGGCGTTAACATGCTGCGCCACAGTGCTGGCCCCAGTACAATTGTTTTTTAATTGAACTTTTTTAATGTTTGAAGAGAAAAACAGAAACATTAAAAAATTCAGGAAATACTGAAGAAAAAAAAAATCTGATGACCTACCTCCCAGAGATAATCACTGACATAGTAGGTGCTAGATAAATGTTCCGGATGAGGTGAGTGAGCCTGATGAGCCGAGCACGCTAGGGTTGACTCCCCTCCTTTAACAAGTCATGCAGTCAAATGGCAAGAATGGTCCTAGTGAAGGGGTGGGGGGCTGTGGGGCAGTAACACTGTGCCTTGCATATCCCTTGGTGACACCTGGATTAGACTAGTAACACCTGGCAACACCTGGGCAAAGGTGGATGAAGAGTTTGGGGGATGCCACAAGCCCTGGCCAACATCATATGGGCCAATCTCAAGGAGGCCCAACTATTGAAATGGAACTATTGTTTTTGTGATTTAAAAAAATTTATTTGATAGGCAGAGAGGGGGAGACAGAGGAGATATTCCATCCACTGGTTTACTCCCCAAAATGGCTGCATAGGCTGGGGCTGGGCCAAGCCAGTCAGGAGCCTAGAACTCCACCTGGGTCTCCCACATGGGTACAGGGCCCTGGTCCTTGGGCCATCTTCCATTGCTTTCCCAGGTGCTTTAGCAGAGAACTGGATCAGAACTGGGCAGCTGGGACTCGAACCAGTGCTCTGATATGGACTTAACCTGCTGCCCCACAACACAAGTCCCCAGAACTATTGGTTTTGTAGCCAAAGTCTGGTGTTGTGCCCACGTAGAGAAACTAGTTAATCAGTGCAGCTGGGCGAACAGAGCAGGTGGCCCCAGGGGCCTCCTCTGGGTGTCCCAGCTCTGCCCACGTCCACTGCCCCTGGTTCCAGTCTCACCTACAAACGCCTCTTCAGGACCACACAGGGCCAGACCTTGCAGCAGCCCCACTCCTGGCCTCCAGGTGTGTCCTGAGCTCATTAGGTGCCAGACGCATGAACAGAATGCCTATGGATTGACTTGTTATGGGGCCTGTGTTCAGTGATCTCATGCTAAATGATTTGGTTTATGTGGCCTTGCATTTTTCATAGCAAATCCATTGAACACTAGTCTTGTGAGCCCGGGTATGTTTCCTAGGGACACTTAACAAAGTACCACAAACTGGCTGATTTAGAAGAGAATATTCTTGTCCTGCTGTTCTAAGGCTGGGTGTCTGACAGGAGGGTGTCAGCAGGGCCCTGTCCTTTAAGGCTCTGCAGGAGACTCCTTCCGTGCCTCCCTGGCTTTTGGAATTTACTGCAACTCTGTGATGTGCCTTGGCTGACAGGTGCATCACTCCAGCCCCAGCCTCCGCTGTCACGTGGTGGTCTTTTCCCTCTGGGTCCTCACATCTTTTCCCCTCTGTGCGAGTTGGTCTCTGTGTCCTGATTTACCCTTTGAGTGCAGGGGTCATGTAGGGTGAAGGCCCACCCTCACGACCTTATCTTAACTTAAGGTCACATTCTGAGTGCTGGGACTTAGCATTTCAATATAACTTTACGGGGAAAGCAGTGCAATCCGCAACAGCTTGGATGACACAAGTCCATTCCTGAGACGCAGGATGCTGAGCCAAAGGCTTCCAAGCCAATGTGACGAGGGTGAGGACCAAGCTTCGGGGGATTCGCCAGATTGCTACTGGAGTGCCCACCTCGCCCCACCGGGGTCTCTGGGGATCCCCAATGTACCAGACATACCGTGATGAGCCTACCACCCAATCTGAGGAGGCCCTGTGATCGTCTCTCTGAATCCGTCTTGTATGGTGCACCCATCGCTGTGTGTCACAGCTCCAGCAAGGGCAGGGTCCTCACGAATCTTGCCCGTACCTGTATCCCCGGCACCCAGCATAATGCCTCAATAAGCACGGATCAAATGAGTGCATGAGACTGGCTTGCTGGAAGGAAACAAGTTCCAGAAACCTCCCTTTGCGCCACTGTGGGTGGAAGGGCAGAGACCGAAGTGGAAGGGATGAGGGAGGTGGCCCTGGCTGTCACATAGAACGCATGTGAGATTTAGTTTGTGAAAGTTTCCACCTGAAAGCAAAATGCCGCTGGAGGCTTGCAGGGAGATAAGGCTTCCAGGTCTGGTGATAACAGCGCCCCTGGGAGCCAGGGAGGCGCTGCGTGGGGATCAGCGTGCACCCCCGCCCGTCACAGAGCCAGGGAGGTAAATATAGAACCACATGAAAGCCGCCGGCAGCCTGCCCCAGCCCCTCCTTTCCAGCTGTGCAATGGTCACTTGTGACCAAGCCCTGCTGCTTCACAGCCCCCTCCCAGGCCTGTCTTGCCCACTGTACCTTTCCTTCCTGGTGCCCAGAGTGGGACCAGGTGCCCAGGGACAGTGAGAACAGAGGGGACATGGGTACTTGGCAAGCTCCCTTGCAAGCAACAGTCACCCAGACTGCTTGCTGCCCAAGAAACACAGGCAGCAAACCCCATTCGGTGCTGCAAGATCTACCAGCCGCCTGCCAGGCAGGCCTCCAAGTCCCAGTGACCACCCCCAGCAGCTCCAAGGGAGAGAACCGTCACCATGCCAACCATACTAACCATGGTCAAGGTCATGCAGCTCAGCAGTGGAGCTCAAGGCTGTGTGTGTCCAAAGCCTGTGCTCTGACCACTCCACCGCCGGCCCTCCCAGTCCACCAGGCTGCGAACGGCTCTGCGAATCTCCGCTTTTGTGGCTCAGAAAAGAATCGTCTGAAGCCAACGACATGGCACGGTGGGCTCCGTGTGTTCTGTTTTGCAGTCAAGGAATCAAGGCTCAGGGAGGTGGAGCACGTTGTCCAAGGACTCATAATGGCAGAGTTGGGATAGGAACCTAGGTTCGAGGCTGCTAAACCCGTGCCTTTCCTACTACCCTCTGGCCCTTCCCAGAAGCCCTCGTGCACCTGCTCTTCTCCCCTAGTCTTCAGGTCTCTGTGCAACCCACCAGGGCTTTTTTTTTTTTTTTTTTAAGATTTGTCTATTTATTTTAAAGGCAGGGTTATGGAGAGACGGGGGAGAGACAGATCCATATTCCAGTTGCTGGTTCACTCCCCAGATGGCTGCAACTCCCAGGGCTACACCAGGCTGAAGCCGGGAGCCGGCAGTTTCATCTGGATCTCCCGAGTGGATGGCAGGGACCTAAACACTTGAGCCATCCTCTGCTGCTTTCCTAGGCCATTAGCAGGGAGCCGGATCAGAAGTGGAGCAGCTAGGACATGAACTGGTGCATTTCAGGAGGCGGCTTTACCTGCTGTACCACAATGCTACCCCCCCTCCAACCAGGGCTTCTTGACCATGACTGGTCAGCCACGGGCCCTGTGTGCTGGTAGCCATGGAATATGACCAGTTCTCCCACCCCAGGGCTGCATTCCTTGGAAATAAGAAGCTGAACAGGGACAATGCTTAAGACATAGCTTGAGACACTTGCGACCCATGTTGGTGTGCCTGGGTTTGAGTCTCAGTACTGTTCCCAATGCCAGCTTCCTGCTAATGCACACCCCGGGAAGCAGCAGGTGACAGCTCAGGTAGCTGGATCCCTACCACCCACGTGGGAAACCCTGGATTGAGATCCTGGGCCCCAGCTTGGCCTTGGTCCAGCCCTGGCCATTGTGGGCATTTAAGAAGTGAATTAGTGGGGGCCGGCGCTGTGATGCAGCGGGTTAACACCCTTGCCTGAAGCACTGGCATCCATATGGGCGCAGGTTTGAGACCTGGTTGCTCCACTTCCGATCCAGCTCTCTGTTATAGCCTGGGAAAGCAGTGGAAGATGGCCCAAGTCCTTGGGACCCTGCACCCATGTGGGAGACCCGGAAGAAGCTCCTGGCTTCAGATCGGCACAGCTCTGGCCATTGTGGCCAACTGGGGAGTGAACCATCAGATGGAAGACCTCTCTCTCTCTCTCTCTCTCTCTCTCTCTGTATAACTCTGACTTTCAAGTAAAAAATAAATTAAAAAAAAAAAGAAATGAATTGGTGGATGGGATATCTCCATCCCTCTCTGCTTTTCAAATAAAAATAAGTTTTTTGTTTTTTTTTTTAAATAGGGTGGTCCTGCTGGGCTAGCTGGGTGGCATTTAGGTATGAAAATAGGCTTTGTTTAGCCAAGGCCCAGATGGAGAGAGACCTCAGATGACCATAGCTCTCAGGGGCCTTTTGCTAAATTGAGTGTGAGAATATTCTGCAGATAGCAGAGGCAGGCTGAGGAGGCCCTGGGGTGAGACACCCTTGGAGTTGGCCCTGGAGCTCCAATTGGCTGTGGGGGGAGGGGACGGCCGAGGAGGAGCAGGGGGGCCCAGGGTTCGGAAGCCTGTGTTCTAAGGTCAGTCTGCTCGGATCTAGCCTGGTGCCTGTAGTTGTCATTACGGCCCTGGCAGCGTTTGCCGGGCCATGTTACACTGTGTCTCCATATTACCCTCTCTCCATGTCATTTAGCTGTGGCCACAACACTGTGTCACAGCACCAGCACCACACCACAGCAGGCATGAAATGAGCTCCGTGGCTTTTGGGGGCCAGCTGGTGCACAGTCTCCCTAGTTTGTACTGATTTTCAAGTTCCTTTGGAAACTCTCTCTCTCTGTGTGTGTGTGTGTGTGTGTGTGTGTCTCTCCTTCTTGCTATTGCTCTGTCTTTTTTTTTTTTTTAAGATTATTTATTTATTTATTTGACAGGTAGAGTTACAGATAGTGAGAGGGAGAGACAGAGAGAAAGGTCTTCCGTCCATTGGTTCACCCCTGAAATGGCCTCAACAGCTTGAGCTGCGCCAATCTGAAGCCAGGAGCCAGGAGCCTCTTCCTGGTCTCCCACGTGGGTGCAGGGGCCCAAGCACCTGGGCCATCCTCCACTGCCCTCCTGGGCCACAGCAGAGAGCTGGACTGGAAGAGGAGCACCAGGGACTAGAACCTGGTGCCTATATGGGATGCTGGTGCCGCAGGTAGAGGATTAACCTACTGTGCCACAGCGCCGGCCCATATTGCTCTTTCAAGTAAATAAATAAATGATTTAAAGGTAAAAGTGTGTTGCGTTGTTCCGACATGAAGATGAGGTAAGGAGGGTAATTGGAAGAGAGGCTGCACACCCTGATAAAATAGTGCCCACCATGTTGTTAGGAGTTAAACTTTGGGGGCTGGCGCTGTGGTGTAACATGTAAAGCCGCTTCCTGCAGTGCCGGCATCCCATTTGGGTGCCAGTTTGAGTCCTGGCTGCTCCACTTCCGATCCAGCTCTCTGCTATGGCCTGGGAAAGCAGTGGAAGATGGCCCAGGCCCAGGTCCTGCACCCGCGTAGGAGACCCAGAGGAGGCTCCTGGCTCCTGGCTTTGGATCGGTACAGCTCCGGCTATTGCGGCCACATGGAGAGCGAACCAGCAAATGGAAGGCCTCTCTCTCTGCCTCTCCTTTCTGTGTGTAACTCTGACTTTCAATTAAATAAATAAATATTAAAAAAAAAAAAAAAGAAAGAGTTAGGCTTTGGAGCTGGACACCCTGGGTTCATATCCCAGTTTGCTACTTTCTCTGTGTAATCATGGAAAGTTACTCATCCTCTCTGTGCCTTGACTTATCTAGTGATAAGATGGGACATTAATCATAAAACTAGGAGTCAGCATAGTGTGGTGAATTAAGCCGCACCTTGGGACGGCAGCATCACATGTGAGCAACTGTTCCAGTCCCGGCTGCTCCACCTCTAACCAGCTCCCTGGTAATGCACCTGGGAAAGCAGTGGAAGACGGCCCAAGTGCTTGGGCCCCTGCACCCACATGGGAGACCTGGATGGAGTTTCAGGCTTCTGGCTTTGACCTGGTCCAACCCCAGTCATCTGGGAATGAATGAGCAGATGGAAGATCTTCCTCTCTTTTTCTCCCTCTGTCACTCTTTCAAATAAAGTAATCTTTAAAAAAAAATACAAAGTGCTTAGATTATTGCCTTACATCATAATTTCTTACCTTTTTATAGCTGAGTAATAGTCTACTGTGTGGGGCTGGTGCTTTGGCACAGTGGGTTAAAATCCTGGTCTAAAGTGCCAGCATCCTATATGGGCGCCGGTTCGAGTCTTGACTTCTACTCTACTTCCGATCCAGGTCCCTGCTGAAGCACCTGGGAAAGCAGCAGAAGATGGCCAAATCCTTGGGCCCCTGCTCCTGCGTGGGAGACCCAGAAGAAACTTCTGGCTCCTGACCAATGCAGCCA